TTTTTGAAAACAAATAAAGGGAAACTCTTCCTTTTCCACCCGTCCGATGGTCACGACGTGTCCACATCGGCAACGGCCACCACGCCACATGTGTGCTTGCCCACTTGCTGCCACCTAACTTAGAGCGACAGCTACTGCCCGCCATATGTCTTTGCCAACGACGGAAATTAGTCATGAGAAATTATGTTACTAATTTTTATCTGTTTCAGAAATTAGTAACGAAAAAATTTTATCATTAGAAATTTTACTATGAACTGGGAAAAAAATTTAACCACACTAAATTCCCTCATTGATTTGGAGACGGGATTTGCAGTGGAATTGCATACGATGGCTAACTTCGTAAGTATATGTTTTTTTCGTAATGGTAAAACTGGATTAAAAATTTTGCTTCTGGATTTGTATCTGCTCCTTGTTTGATAACTATAAATACTTGCAATCCTGTTTTGTGTTCTTCTACCTAAACATACAGTATATTGATAACATCTAATAAGATATACATATAGCCAAATTATGACTTGCAATGTTTCACTTAACAATTACTTATTTGTCTGACTAAAACATTTTGTAAAATTTTTTTTGGATGTGGATAACATTTTAAATGTTTTTATTCAAATTCAATTTTTTAAATAACTATTCAAACATGTATTTTTATTTTTTTTTCAAAACTTGTTCTATAAAATTATTGTGAGGGGAAAAAATAAAAACAGAAACAAACAAGCTCCAAATTTCTTACTGTGATAATGAATATATATTATTGAGCTACTTAATTAACTTGGTTAAGGAAGTCAACTAAATTATTTAATTATAATGAATGTGATATGGCTTCCCTAAAATATTCTTGTATGTATAGCATTAGAGTATTAGACTATATACATTATTAGGGTATAAAGTAAGTAAATTTTTTGGGAAAAAATGATAAATACCATAGATAAAGTGAATTAAAATTTTATATTTAGAATTAAATTCAAATCTCAATTAGCTAAAGGACTGGAGGTAATATTTCATGATAATAAAATTGATGTGTGCTGTAAAATAATATTTAAAGTATAAATATTTAATTAATATATAAAAAATTAACCAAACCATATTTTCATTATGTATAAACACTTCTCAATTTTGTATAAATGCAAGTATGCATGTCAGGGTTCTGTAGCACGTCTTTCTTAAACTTTTTTTTTTAAGCATAACATTGTGAGTTCGAAATCTTTATAATAGGAATGTAATAATGAATATGTGAGTTATTTCAAAAATAAATACTATATTAATTATTGATGTTGATTGATAATATGCTACCATGCGCCAAAGAATGTGCAAAATCACGAAAGTTTATGCCTTAATATTCATATGTACTATTTGATATAATTAATCATAGTTGGGAAAAAAGGATATATATAATTAATCATAGTGCATTTATAAATTGTAGCGATTGCTGCCTTGTTTAAAAAATTAATTTAGAGATGTAATCAATTAGGAGTTTGAAAGTTGATGATGCAGAGATTAAAGTGGGATAGCCTCTATATATATATTGGGTTAAGTTTTTTGAGTGTGGGGTAAGAGAATCTCATCCAAATGTTTTGTCAATTAACGTCTCCGCCTCTCATTAATCTTATGTTGTGTTTGGCTTGAAGAAGGGTAGGAAAGCGAACGGATTTTAATAGAGGAGAGGAGAGGAGAGGGAAAGGTAACTACAAATGCCAGGGTAGAGAAGGGAAAGAGAGGGAAAGAATTTTAATGATCTCTTGTTTGGATTGATTAGAGGGGAGGGAAGAGAAGGAATTTTGATGATACATTGTTTGACTATTTTAACCCTATAAAATTTAAATAGATTTTCTCACTTTTCTATTTATCAAGACATGAATACACACACATGTAATACAACTCACTAACTTTGATTTGCAAGACATTGTCACGAACATGTATGACATCAAGATAAGAAGCTATGAGTGATAGGTCTCAGTTAAAGAAGGGGCGTTAAAGATAAAAGAAAATATCACATAAAATAACAAAATTAGAAGAAGAGAAGAAAGGTACAACAGTACCCACCAACTTTAGATATGATCATCTCAATGGTCGCTTGCTGGATGTTTAAGAAATCTCTCTTGTATACAAATGTATATGGCTGATTAGGAGTTAGCAAATCAAAAGGGCATAGGAAGAATTAAAATATTGTAATTAGGCTAATTTTGAAATTTAAAATTTTATCTCTCATCTCTCCTATCAAAAACCATACTTTTAGAATAGAGATTAAAAGAAAAAAAAGAGGGGAGAATAGCCCCTCCTCCTATTAAAAAAATATCTCAATCAAATAAGGGGAGAAGAACAACTCCCCTTCCTTTCTAAAAACATGTACTAGTCGAATAAGGGAAGAGGAGCAACTTCCCTTCCCTTCAAAAATCCCATACCAAATTCAGTGTTAGAGTTTAGGATTAGTGGTCTGGGAAAAAAAATTGCTGTGATACTATACTGGAGTTTGTATTCATATCACCATAAATCTAATTCATTTTTATTTGCTTGAAAGAAACTTTCACGACAAAAAGCGTAATGAACAAACTTTAGTAGAAACATATATTTTTCACCCAAAAAATTAGATTAATTAAATTATATAAAACCCATTAAAAATACACTTTGTAAAATATTTTTCCCTTGCTTGTTTCTTTCTTTCTTCCCCTGACTTTTATTTTTGCTGTGTGACTTTGCGCATTTAGGCATCAGCTGTAGATCAGTTCAATGAAAACTCCTAAATTAAAAAATATATATTACAATTAAAAATGTTAATTTACAAATTTTCATTTCTGGAAGTATCGTTAGCGTCTGTGATAATATTTTGGTTTTATGGGTTTCTTTTATTATAAAACTTTGTTTGCTGCTTTTTTCCAGCATGAATTGTTAAAACTGAGTTTTCATGGGTCCCTTTCAATCAATTTTTTTCCCACTAATTGAAATAAATATTTTTCGCACTTTAAACAATGTTACATAACATGAACGAAAGTTTGTCCTTAGCTTATTTTTAAAAGATTATCTATCCTCGATGGGGTTTAGGTGGCTTTGATAAATTAAACAAAACGATGCTTTCCAATATCTCATTGACAAAAGGATATCGACTTTACGACTTGCAAGGAGGCTCACTTTAAAGAAGAATATTCATTAGTGGGGAATTTTTATATGCAGCATGACATGAGCATGTGCCAATGGGGACGTGTAAGGAGATATCAGATACAACGGCTGCAATAAAGAAGAATATTCATTTGCTGATTAACATGTGGTGCATATAGTGGAAGAGATTTTCTTGGCCGCCTAAGGAGAGATCTCGAGATCTCAAATTCAAATCTGTATAACTACAGAAAATATCTTTAGAAGAATTACTCTCAATCAGTCCAATAATGCCGGAATTTAATATTGTCATATAAAAAAATTCATTTGGGGGCCTAGAGGAAAAGGTAGGAGCTACATGCAATGAGCTGAGAGCACTCAAACTTATCAGGTTTAAAACTTCTAGACCCGCAAATTTAACACATACAACTTTGGCCAAAAAAAAAAAATTTAAAGCACAAGGATTTAATAATGAATATATATTTAAAAAATTAACCAGCCATGTGCAAAATCACTATAAGTTTATTTAATTAATCGTAGTGCATTTCTGTCTGGCCAAAAAGAAAATCATAGTGCACTTCTCAATTATGATGATGGCTTGTTTTTTTAATAATTAATTTAGCTAGGGACGCAATCAATTGGGAGCTTGAAAGTTGATGAAACTTCGAGGACAAAAAGGGTTATATAAATTCAGTATAAATGTATAGTTTAGCGTAATTAAAATTTTAATTTATTAAATTATAGAAAATATATTTTTATTTTTGGAAAATTATGTTTAGTTTTTTAAATATATATTATTTAATAGCCATCAAAAGACTTTTTTAAACGTTTTTGTCTTGTTTGTCTCTTTCTTCCCTTGACTTTTGCTACTATGCTGCATGACCATGCGCAAACAACCATTTATCAATAAAAAGTAGCTCTGCAAGCTGGGGTTGGGCCTTAAGAGAAATCTAATTTGATCTGTTGCCACAGTGCGTGCTGGAATAGCTCAGTTGGTTAGAGCGTGTGGCTGTTAACCACAAGGTCGGAGGTTCAAGCCCTCCTTCTAGCGATTTTGTCCTTTTGTGCGTCCTCTCCCTATTCCACCTTTTTTTCCTTGGCTGCCACTTTTGATGTTTTGCTCTCTTTTCCTTTTTAGTGCTCTGTTCTCTGATGAGTTCCAAGTTGTAGCTCATCTGATCAAAACATATGATGGAAAGAAAAGGGAAGTTTTTCTTCTTCTTTCTCTGGTTCTGTGTAACGGATGATTCCCCAGAAAGACAAAAGGAAGAAAATTTAATGGTTTGAAACTGGTTTTTTAGAGCAACTAACCAGAGCTCTTGCATTTAAGGAATTTTCAGTGTCTGTTAGATCAGTTTTCTTTAAATTAGTATGTCTTGGATCAATAGAGATTTAATTTTCCTCTCAGCTCTGTGCAGGGTTGCTGCTTCTTTATTAATTAAGAATATGGATTTATAAATTGGCATTGCTCTCTCGTCGACGTCGTCTTCCCCTTTGCTATGCTATCAGTAATGCACATTAGGAAGTTGTTCTGGATTCACACTTCTGGCTCAAATAAAATTGGGGGGGTTATTAATATGAAAAATGCTTTGTAATAAGTGTATCATATAACGAGTCATTAAAGAAAGAGAAATGAGTTACCAGAGTAATTATTTTGGGAATGCGGAGTAGTTAAAGTTTATATTAAAGAAAGCAAAAATAATGAAAAGGAAAGGGAAAATGAAGAAATATTAAACCCCAAAAAAATTGAACCAATCACAGAAAAGATAGTAAAATAAAAGTCTGAGATATTAAATCAAAAAAATTAACCAAATTTATTTGCCGGGTGACCATCAAATACATGATAGTATAAGCAAGTTCTGAAAAAAAAAGCACTTTTGAATTTATAAGCAAGTTGATTCGATCTATCTCTTCATTTGTAGAATTCCATAACTCCTAAAACAGAGAGAGCTCGACAAGCAAGTTTGAAATCAGAAAAACCAGAACGTTTGCAAAGAGATTCAAATTCCTTCACAGTTCTCTCTCTTCCATCGTGAATAAACATGAGGTTGTCCAAGCTTGCTACAAACTTGGTTTCTTCTGTTGCTTCAATCTTTTCAGGCATCAAAAGCTCAATCACTATCACCTTCCCTTCCTCTGGCAATGCTTCATGGCATTTCCTCAACACTTTTATGCTATTCTCATCTGACCAATTGTGGCATACAGCCTACCAACAGATATATATATATATATATATATATAAATCATCATTTTAGTTACATTTGAACTCAGCTGAATCAGGTCATCAAATTAAAGACAGCAATATTAATTTTGAGGTATATAATAAGAATAATAAGTTGAAACTAAGATGACAAATTTTCTCACTAACCTTTAATATGATGGCATCACCTCGTGGAACACTTTCAAACATATCCCCTCCAACATGCTCAATTCCTGCATAAAGTATAGTTTCTTAGGAATAGATATCTTGAAAAAAGATGGAGCTTTAACCCTTCATAGGATGGGAAGGGGAAAAAGAATAGATCGAGCGGAGGAAAAACTCTTAGAAGTAATCAAAAAATTTCTTGTTGGTTTTGAAAGATTTCACTCAGCATTCTTCCCTCCCTAGTTATTTTTCTTTTGACATTAATCTTATCACATAGGTCCAAATAAAATCAAAATCAATCAAATTGATGACCTGCCACTAGAAAAATGGAGAGATAGACTCTATGAGTCTATATTTTGATATAAAATAAATAAATTTTGTTCGTTCATTTTGGTTTTTAAAAACCCCTTTTATTTTATATTTTGTGGCAACTTACATACCGTTTAGTCAGCAACCATATACTACTTTTAGGCCTTAATATAAGAGTTAGTTTGACTTTTAATTTGATCCTAAATATAAGACCCCAATTCCCTTTATCTATCATATTTATCCTTTTTTTTAAATAGTCCTATAGTAGTTTTACATGTTAAAAATTCCACTAAATGGTAGTTATAACTAATACATATGATTAGCAAGAATATTCTAAGAAAGACAACACCTAATTATTACAAATAACTTATTTAATAAACTTCTTTAATCCACTCAAGTTAGTCAACTAACTCTTATATTAAATAACAGAGATAGTATTAATTGTACAACCCCAGACAACTAGAGAAGCTGAACTTATTTTTAAAACATGAAACGAAATTAAATGTGTTAGTGGCAATGAAATTGTGATGTGTACCTGGATGATGCGGTGCGTTTTGAATAACCTGGGGCAAATCAAAATTGATAGCCTTAATAGAAGGGTACTTAGAGACAATCATATTGAGATTCTGGCCAGTGCCACCACCAACATCAACAAGTGTGGATATTCCCTCAAATCCTTTGTATGTTTCCAGAATCCTTCTCATTTCTATATTGCAAACGTTGGCCATTGCTTTGTTGAAAGTTGTGTTCCACGTTGGATCTTTATTTGCATATTCGTACATTGGTATCCCATGAATTTTCTTGAACAGGTCTGCGTCTTCTTCTATGACTGCATCCTTAAAATTCAACCTTCCCCAACAAAAAATTGAAATATATATATATATATATCAACAAAAGCATTATTATATATATAACTTGATGATTGTTTTTTCTTTTGAGCTAATGAGCAGTACATCATAAACATATAGAGCATGTTAATTAATAATAAAATGAGCAGCGTATCAATAGATGAACATCAAATCAAAATATGTGGCACTTGCATCAATATCTCCGTATATTAATTTAAAGGATTAATCGTTATAGTTTGATCTAATTTTGATTTCAATTCCTTTAAATTCAAGGCATTGGTTTTAATCGCTATAATATAATCCCATTATTTATTTGTCTAAGTTTAACACATGACCCTTGTACTTTTAACAAGTTTTAGTTTTACTCCCTATATATTTAAATTAACACTAAGTCCCAAATTTAAATGAAAGTGTAGGAACCAAAACCAAAGAACCAAAAAAATAGAAACAAAGCAAATCTGATTTCTTACAAAATAGGATTTTAACTATAGATAAATCTAAGAGACTCTTAAATCCAAACGATTTTTTCATGGTCTTTTGCTTCTGATCCAATCAGGGATCAAATTGATTAACGATTTGAAACTATAATGATCAAAACTAAAATTGAATCAAAAACTGTAAGAATAAACAATGATATTAATCTTAATTTAAATAAAAAATTTGTAATTCATAGGCCAGTACATGGCTGGCTCATCTCCTAGATGCATAATAATATTGCAAAGGAAAAGCAAGAATCATTACCAAACATCAACAAGTGCTTGATGGAACTTGAACGAGGCAGCATCCCATAATCCACCATCATCTCTAACAAAGTACTTTCCCACTGGAGAAATTGCATAGAGTCTCTCAGTGCCACCATCTTCCTGCTCACCAAACGAACAGTTTAGAAGAGAGTGGCTGGCAAGAAGCCTCAAGAGACGATCGATTCGGGGAGCTAAATCTTTGTGCTGAGATGAGCTTGGAAGCTTTGAAGCTACTTCAGAGGCTGACACGTGTCTTCCTCCTTCCTTAGCTATGATCTCAAACAAATCGAGCTCAAATGAAGCTTTAAGAGCTGCGGTGTAGATCTGGCCACAGCACAGAAGCATGGCAGAAAGGCAATATGAATCTTCTTTTTCTTCATTAGGAAGTTTCTGTTCAGAACGATCCAAAGCCATAGCTGAATAATAATGCTTCTCCAGGTTTGTGTATTTGCGTTTCCCAGCATACAGCAATTTATAGGCAATTATATTACATTAGATCTTGGAACCTAGCTAATAAAAGATCAAAAAAATAATTTAGAAAAATTTTCGTTTCATGTACATAACTGGGCTTTGAATTTTATTAATTGCTTCAGTTCTTTTTTAGAATATAGTAATCATCTTATATCTTACCTTAGAATAAATTATAGTAGTATTTGTACCCTGAGGCCTTTTAAAAATCTCTTGGAAATGGCGGATTTCTGAGCGTTTAGATAAATTATTTTCTCATCACAGATTAATTACTAATCTAATCATAGCCTTCATCTGATTCTCAGCTTATGGGTCAGAAAACTATTGATCAACCACAAATTAAATTAATGGTTGCTTGAAATAGATACTACTTCCAGTTCTTAATATAAGAGCTAATTGACTAATTTGAGTTGATTAAAGAAATTAATTACATTAGTTATTTGTAATAAATAGATATTTTCTTTTTTAAAATATCCTTACTATTTAAGTGTATTGGCTAGAACTATCATTATTACAAGGACTATCTTGAAAAAAAATAAATAAATATAAGAGACAGAATAGATTAAGATCTTATATTTAGAATCAAAATAAAAGTCAAATAAGATCTCATATTAAAAACTGAAGATAGTAGATGACAAGGTCATGTATTTCCCTGCTTCTAAGCATCCTACTGATGAATTAAATTATTTGACATGAGATGGTTGCACTATCACTAACTAAGAATCTAAATATATAAAAGATCTCAGAAATCCGCCATTTCCAAAAGATTTTTAGAAGGCCTCAGGACACTCCAAATAGATTTTTAAAAGGCCTCGACCCTCAATTTTTATTTTTAAAAGATATTAATTAGTTTTCTCAAATTATATATACGTATATATACTTGTGAGAGGCCAAATGCAATTCTTAGCTTACGTTAAAATTATATTTTATGAGAGCATTGAAAATTGAGTTGTTCAATGCTCTAGAAATTCATAAAAATAACAATACTATTTGATATCAAATCTGCCGAAGGCATTAAGAGGAAAGATAATCAAGTTGTCCAAACAATACCATGCATTTCTTTTGCATATTTTTATTTGATAATGTGATATATATTACTAGGTCATTTATACCGGGGCAACAAAAGTAATTTCATTAATTTATTTATCTTTTCAAAATACGCGTATATATCTTTATTCCGTAAATTAATTTACGTATAACTCTAGGCTCATAGTAGCTACTTTAGATTATGTTGAACGCACATGCCAAGTGAGCTGTCCTATATCACCATGTGATCCTGATCCTTGTGATCCGAAAGTTGAAACTTGAAACTCTGATTTCTAGGTTTTTTTTAAATTTTAAAATTATTCTGGTGAAGAAAAGGATAAAAATTTTACTCCCTCCATTCCTTATTATAAGAGACAAATAACCAAATTACGTTGATAAAAAAACAGTTAAAATTAGTTGAGGACAATTAATATGTAAAAAGTATAATGTTTTTTTCCAATAATGCCCCCATTAATAAGGAGAGAGAGTATGAGAGAGAACAATTAAATTATTAAAAGAAAGAGAAGTGGGAGGGAGAGAGAGTATGAGTTGGAGACAAAATAAATAAAAATAAAATAGAAAATCAATACAAAAAAATAGAGATAACTTTTAAGTGTCTTTTATATATGAAAACATGCCATAAACATCAAATGTCTCTTATAATAAACAACGGAGGGAGTATATTATAAGCGTCTTTCTAGGGCTGATCTTTTCTAGGTAATTTTATGGGAAAATGTCGCAAGACCACTTTGGAAACACGTATATACCGTTCCGATTCTTATTATAAGTTAGTTGTAGGAAAAAATATTTTATTTTAAATATAAGTCATGTATAAAGCCTTTAGTAATGATTTTTCAATTTATCCTTATTATTTAATTCTCTTCAGGAAGAAAAAAAATAAAAGAAATGAAAAAAAAACTTTAATAAGGATTAGAAAATTTTTATCAATTTTATGGGGGAAAAAACCTCTGTTTTCAAATATACTCTTATAATAAATAAGAAAAAAAATAAAAAAGAATGTATAAAAAATTTATAAGATAAATTCAAATTGAAACTGATAAAATAGGTCACGATCATAGACAGGAGAGGAGGAAGCATAATTTTATTCATCTACTGCACGTCATTCGTTTATCAAGATTGGTTCACGAAGTTATTTTACCCTCTAACTATCTGCTTATTCTTCTACTAACTTGTGCTCATCTGTTCCTTTGTTAAAGATGTGTTTCTGGAAATCTTAAGTACATGTTACTCTGTTGTTTTATTTGTTTATCGTGCTTTCTGAAAGTTTGAAGAACACAATATTATGATTCTAATCGTGGTTATTTGTCTACTCTTGACCTTCTAAGATGAAAATAGATGTACTCACACATCTTGTTATTCCTTTAATAGTATTTATTCTATATGAGAGCTTCTATATATGCTTGTTAGGCCTGTCTAGCTATGAGTATATGATTATGCATTGTTATGTTACCTTTTTCTGATAAATACCTTTAATGATTTACTTAACATACAGCTCTAATTCTTAATATAAGTAATTTATAACACATTCTCGTATAATAAGAAGTTCATTAAATTGTCAAAATTTTTTAATTTATCTTTATTAAAGTTTTCTCTCGACATCTATCAATTATTCTCAAGATCTCTCTCTCTTGCTCTCTTTCCGATAGAAATTAAATAAGAGTAAAATTAAAAAGTATACATTAAGTATATCACACATGACTTACATTTATGAACAAAATTTGTTTTTGTATAAGTGACTTCGTATTGCATATGCGCTATGGTTAGATCTTTTATCCAATATTATTAGTTGATCTCCCTAACTCTCATCTCTTTTAATTAATATTCTGCACCTGCCACTTTCTTTTCATAGCTAACACTGTTTATTATTTGTTTATCGATTTTTCATAAAATGCTACCTCTTATCGTTAATATAAAGTTAATTGGAGAATGAGTTTGATTCTCAATATAATAACTCGACTCACAGTATCTCTTATCTTTCTTAAAATATCACTATTAATTGTAAGAGTTCTAGCCAATAAATAATTTTAAGAGAATAGTTCAGGGAGACCAACACATTTATGATAAATAACTAACTTAACTAATATTATTAATATGCTCTAGCTTTTACATTAAACAGCAGTAGGAAAAAGTGTGGCAGAGAGACAGGTTGCCACGGGATGCAGGTAGGACGGTGGCGATGTGGTGGGCAATCATTTTGGACATTTGGTTATCTCTTCCACAAACCTTCAAACTTATTTATGGTTCTTTTTCTGACGGAGAAGCGGTGGAGAGAGAAGCCATGGGAGTGGGCGGTGCCGGTGGCCTCTTTCATCAGCAAGCACAGTACGCAAAGCCAATTGTTTTTCTAATTAATTAACACAATTAAATATCAAATAATTATATTATTTTTTTACCTGAATAATAAATATCATACCATACAAATTAAACATCTTCAGTCTTGGATTAGTGTGTTAATGTAGAAATTCTCCATCAGATAAAAGGTTGGGCTGAACTCAGCAGTGTATCCAATAGAGGGGAAAAGACGTAAAAAGAACCTGAAATATGAAAGAATTGTACGTGAATTTCCATAGTTTCATTCAAGTGTTTTAGCAGTTAACAGGATATTTAGATAGAATCAAACTACAATTTTAAAAATAATTTTGTGACATACGAAGTGAATATATAAAGAAATTTGTCTGGATTTATAAAAAAATACTTTTCAAAAATACTTTTAGAAATATTCAAATACCCCTACCTAGGAGATAAAATTTTGGTCAGAAAATGAAAATGGCCCTCACTTTAGAAAACTAAAAAGTGACGTCAGCCGACCATCCTACCAGACCCAGTGGCCGCCGTCGGCAAGGATTTTTTGTGACAAAATTGGTAAAGAAGAAATTTGATCCCAATATCTCTTGCTCCCTAAATAAATCATGACCACTAAGTGCAAAACCATTAAATTAAAATAAAATTGTAAAAGAATATATATCTTTAGTTCTATTTACAAGACAGAGAGAAAAAGTATTTTTTTATCCTATTATAGGGTAGAGGGAAAAAATTTTCATATAAATGCACTTGATCTATCATTATTATTGTGTTACCTTGTCCTATGAGATATATTGTATATTAAATAGGGATAAAATTGAAAAGTGTTGAATTTAAATGAGTTAATGAAATTTAAAGTTTTTATTAGTATATACGAAATGTATTGAAAGTGACTTATAAATATATTGAAAGAGTATATACTAAATGATATTGGGCCAACCGGCCTAACTCTGTCCCTGTGATGAACTGGCAAAATACACACAGTAAGCATAGTCAATTCCTACTCAGGAACAGTAAATATCCTCAAACTGGTCCTTCATTCATTCATTTTTCCCCATACAACATCATTCATCACACACACACACACACTGTTTGCTTCATTATTTAAAAAATTGGCCAATTTGATGGCGTAATTGTCATAAAAATTTATGGGATTTGGGGGTGTTTGGAATAAAATGAGAAAAGAAGAGAAAAAGAAAATGGCCAAACTTCCTTATTTGTCCTTTCTGGTCGAGAAACGAAGCTTTGGTTGGGCGCTAGATTTTCGACGAAACCTGAGACCACTAGGCTGTCATGCGCAGGCCGATAAATGCCGAAACTTGGGCCCACTTAGTATTTTAGCCCATATATTATTATTTTGTTTCTATTTAAATTTGTTTTTTCAGGTTTCGAAAAAATAAACTACGATTTTTTCATGGATTCCAAAATATTTACTACTGTGCTTTGGAAATTATATATTTCTGGAAACAAATTAGATAAATTCAAATCAGCCGGCAGCATCAAAGTTAGCTTAAGTACTACTCTAAGCTTTATTCATTTATGTTTATCAAGAAACTAGTTAAAATTAATCTAAAATAAAAATATGTAAATCATATATATTTTTTAATATGTCCTAATTAATGAAGATAATAAATAAAAATTATAATAATAAATAAAAAAAAAAGAGAATATATGAAGGTAAAATTAAAAAAAAATTCATTAAATGTTTAAATAAAAGTAAATTTTATCTTACAAACAAAATCCCTCTAACAAAGTTTAGTTTATATTTTAAGCCGGATGAGTACTCTTTTTGAAGGGTCTCTCTGATTTTGTGCGTTTAAATGATTTTTCTTTAAATTTACATCAATAATTCGGGCAAAACAAATTAAACTTACATCAATAATATGTGTAATGTGTATATGCAGGATTTTTATAACAATGCTACACACAGTAGAAATAAATACATGATGCTACACTAGAAAAGTATTTCCCTAAATGCTATACTTAAACTCGTTCACTAAAAGAACGAGTTCAAATTGAAAAAGAGTTGTTCAAGGAAAGAACGAGTTTCATGTTTGATATATATTATTTTTTTAACAAGATCGAAAACTCGTCAAGGCATGAACGAGTTAAGCCTGTCAAAGTGCCTTCCGCTTCTTCTTTTCTTCTTTCATTTCAGCAAAATTTACAAACAAAGACCCACACCATCAACACATTCTTCCTTTTTCTTTAACATCAGAGAGAATTGCAATTAATGACCCAACTCCTTCCCACAACCGCTTTCGTTTTTTCCCTTTGCCCTTCATTCTATATTCCAAAAATATGAATCAATTTTACTTTATATCCTATGATTAAATTTTAAAAAATATATAAAATAAATTTATTGAATATAAATTATTTATCAATATGATATAATATATGCAAAATTTACACCTATTTAATATAGCCATTGGACAGATCGAAGGTCAAAGATTATGAGGGAATGAGTGGTATTAAAATTTATTAAAATTAAACACAAATAATTATGTACAACCGCCTTGTAGCATTCTTGTATATAAAATTTTTTTAAACAAAAATTATGTACATTTATGAACAATTTATGGAAAAAAAACATAACATACAAGTGTTTGGTTTAAAATTTGCAAGTTTAAATTTAACCAAACATAAGTTTATTGAAATACTATTATAATTTATATTTGAATTGTTTTAAAAAAAGTCAGTTTAATTTAGCATATTGCAACCTGTTTAGATATATGATAAATCAAAATATATCACTTTTAGATGTGTAATTATTAAATAGGGGTATAAATTTTAACAATATTCATAATCTAACTTTGAATTTGTCCATTAGCTAAAAATTAAACGTGTTTGAATTATTAATATAAATAAATGATCATTAAATCATGACAAGGCTGTCTTGATACATGCGGCATCTAAGTATATATTGTAAATATTTGTTTACAAGATATCATTTTAGCCGGTATCAATTTCTAAGTTTTTTCCAATATTTTTAAATGTACATAATTTCTGTAAAAAAAAATTTTATATACAAGAATGTTATAAGTCGATTGTACATAATTATTTGTGTTTAATTTTAATAAATTTTAACACCACTCATTCCCTCATAATCTTTGACTTTTGTTCTGTCCAATGGCTATATTAAATAGGTGTAAATTTTGCATATATTATATCATGTTGATAAATAATTTATATTCAGTAAATTTATTTTATATATTTTTTTAAAATTTAATTATTAGGATATAAAGTAAAATTGATTCATATTTTTTGGAAATATAGAATGAAGGGCAAAGGAAAAAAATGAAAGCGGTGGTTGGGGAGGAGTTGGGTCATTAATTGCAATTCTCTCCGAAGTCTAAAGAAAAAGGAAGAATGCGCTGATGGTGTGGGTCTTTGTTTGTAAATTTTGCTGAAATGAAAGAGAAAAGAAGAAGCAGACTGAGACGCTCTGACAGGCTAAACTTGTTCATGCCTTGAACAAGTTTCGATCTTGTTAAAAAAAAATTATCAGACATGAAACTCGTTCTTCCCTTAAACGATTTCTTTAAAAATTTGAACTCGTTCTTGTGGTGAACGAGTTTGAGTATAGCATGTAAGGAAATACTTTTCATAGTGTAGTATCATGGTAATTTATTTTACTGTGTGTAGTATTTTGATAAAAATCCCGTGTATATGCCCCATCAATGACAATAAATGCAATGAACCGCTTAATTGATGCCGGAATTCACCAACATTAGTTGTTGCACCCAGGAAGTATTAAAGTCAAACTAGGAACGTCTTTTTAGTATTTTTAGGCATCATTTAATTGCAAGGTCAGAAAAGGTATCAACTAATTGGCTTTGCATGGTCAAAAAAAAAAAAAAACTAATTGGCTTTGGATAAGCTGGGAGACGATGGAGTCTCCAAGAAATATTAATAGGTATTTTTAATATATTTCATACAAATCAAAAAAAAGATTTACATTAATTTTTTCTTAAAATATAATAATTTTGTGACTTTGTCCTCAATTAATATATACACTTTTCAAAAGAAAATCTATATTATAATAAATAAAGAATAGAATAGTACATGTTCATGTTTAAAATTTGATAGTGACTTAAACATATGATTAAAAAATTTCTTCTCAACCAGAGTAGAGTAGCATGATTTTATTTATAACTCGTTTTTTTATGTATTTCATGATATTAAGAAAAATCTTAATCTCATTAACTTTGTCTTAAAATTTAATAAATTATTAATTTGATTCTTATTTATTTACGAGCCACTTATAATCCAAACCCGTCACCCAAGAAATACATTAAATTGATAATTTTTTTCACATGCATCGTTATTAGAAAAGGTATTAAAACTATACTTTATATTTCCTCTCACTTATTTATGTTATCTCTTTCTTTATTTATTAAGTCAAGAAAAACAAAATTCAAAAAAGCTCATTAATTATCGTATAAATGATTTATATTTTAGGAACAAATTTTTTCTCTATAATAAGAACAGTGATATACTACATGAGATGTTAACTTCCTAAAAACTAAATAGTGACACCTCCTAAAAAGTTGAAATTTCCTGGAAATTCCTTAAAATCAAAGAGAGAGTTAAAAAGCCAAACAGCCAGTTCAAATAGGGGCAATGGGAGGTAAGTGGATCTGTCTTCCAAATACTTTATACAAAAGACTAGATGAAGTACTTGCGAATGGAAATTGATCTAACTGAGTATATATGAGTCAAATCTTATTATGATATAGGTTTGAATCTCATCACGAAATTCTGCTAATAGACAGTTTTATAAATGCTTCGATGAGTGTTCTTTGAGTTTTGATGCATATCTTAACTCCAGGGAATCCTTGACTCGCCATAAACATTTAGGGCTAAAAAATTATCAATATATTATATAGAGTTTAAGATAAGATGTGATGTGTATAGCTTATTAATCCTATAATTTTTATATTATTTATTTTATATTATATATTGATATATTGATGTCATTATCAAAACCATCTACATTATATACTCTTCTGGTACTTGATATAAAATTTACTTTATAGTGTAAATTACATTATAAAATGAGTTATATATTAAAGATTCAAGAGAGTGTTTTCCTTTTACGTGAAAACAATACATTAGGAGTCCATTTGGAATCACATTTTTAAATACTTATAAATACGTTTTGCATAAATTGAGATAAAATTCATCTCACATGTTTATCTCGCATTTCATAAATCATGGTTACAAAACTGCTTATAAGACATTTTAAATAGGCTCTAGGTGTAAGCTCAACCACATTGTGGCAAAATGACAACATAAAACAATGTAACATTGTTGGTTTTATCAATTCTATTCTATGTAATTTCCGTCGGGTAGGATAGTATAGTTCTGTACACATGGAGCCTACAATAAAAAACGCATAGGAGCTTCTAATGATATCCTGTAGTTGACATAAAACTTTTGTTTATAATCAAAATATTTTTTAGTATTTTATTTTAATATGAAAATCAAAATAAATTAAAGATGATTCGGATATACTAAAAGCAACATTTTTTTTTTGGGAGATATCTTTCTTCTTCCTAACTTGGAAGATTATATACATAAATACCCATAAATCATAATTGATATAAACTTGTTAAGAGGAGTATATACATCTAGTCATCTAGTATCTAACAGTATTCGAACATATCTAAAATAAATGTATACATTTTTTTGGTGAAGAATGTATAAATGTTCTTAGTAAAAAAAAAATTACTGATATAATTTACATTCAGTTTCTTTAGTAAAACAATACTTTAAAAAATCATAAGATGAGTGGTAACATTTCAAATTGGCTCTATGTTAAAAAAAAAATGAATTTAAATATCAATTAAGATTAAAATTAACCACTTGCTCACTTTATTGTAAGACTTTTTTTAACTAACTAATACAAAGCAGCACAATTAAATTAATACCCCTAAAACATTTCAAATTTTAATTAAACACGATGAACTCTTTTCTTCATAATGGTGAATGAATCAAATTAATAAGGATCAACCGATCAAGTAACCTTTATACATATTTGTTAACGTAATTCCTTTTCACTCCAAAGAAAAAAAGAGGATCAAGTAACTTTTTTATTCGTTAGAAACATAATCAGGTTAAAACATTAATTCAGTCAACAAAAAGTTGAAAACATTAATTATTCTAATAATTTAAATCATAAAAGTATAAAAACCTTACCTTACATAGTGGGTGGGGGGAATTATTTGCTTTTATTCATTGACCCAAAATAATAAATCGAAAAGATACTGACGAACTCAAAAAGGACAACATATCGGGTTATATCTTTCTCTTACAAAAGAGGATAAAAAAAAAAAAAGATGAGAAAAACCATGAAAAGCGAAAAAAAAAAGGGACAGAAAAAAGCTGTTACCAGCCATGCAATTACCTGTGAAAAATGAAACCTTTATTATGTCAACAAAATTATCGTCAAACACACCACGTTCTCCACTACGCACACAATACATATAAATATATATATATATATATATATATATATATATATCCCCCAGTGTACAAAAAACAACATAAACCTCAAAAATCATTGGAGGCTTTGGTCTCGATATCAGATATATGTCTTCTTCTTCTTCTTCTTTTCTCATGGATTGTTCTGAGAAATGGGTTTTCAGATATTCACACATAGTCCTTCTGATGATTTTCTTCCTCCTTTCTTCTTCTTCTTCTTCACCTTTACATCCTGTGATCGGTGATACGGCGGCGTATCACCGGAACTTCACAGCGATATCTGAGTTTAGAGTACTGAACAGAAGAATCTTGAAGGATTGTTCTTCGTCCAATTCTTATCTGCAAGTGAATGTGACTTCGTCGTCCAATAATAAGTCTGGATTATCCGATGACGAGTTCGTCACCGTTACTGTTTCCGGCGTTTCTCAGCCTTCCGATGATGATTGGGTTGCTATGATCTCTCCCTCAAACTCTGAGTAAGACTATCACTTCATGCTTTTTCTTTTCATCTTGATTCGATTCATTTACATCTTGATTTTGATTAAATATAGTGTCCTTTCGGTTTTCTAATTTTAGCACTGTTGATTTCATATGAACCAACATTAAAATTTAAATATTATCAAAATATTCCTAAATACTGACATAGTTTAATTTTTTAAAAGAATAATAGTTGTAAAAAAAATCATTATTTGACATTAACAATGTTAGGATGAAAAGTAAATTTCTACCTATTTGATTCTTTATTTTTTTTGTCGTCTAAGTTTGAAGATAAATTATGAAAAGACACAAGATATGTGTGATCAACTTTAAGGTTGTCTATTGATAGATGATTCTGCCGCACATATTGTCTAGTTTTCTATGAAATTAATCAATCATTTCATAATTTTAGTTTGAGGATAAGCTTCAAGTTTCATTGGTGATGATTAATTGATTATATAGACATGCACATTTTAATTAGAATTTATTCGTGTCCACACACTACGTTTGTTCTTTAGTATCTAGGTCGTCGTTCAAATCTAATCAACACAATTTTTGGATCTGTTTTGAAGTTTTTTTCCCCCCAAGAAAAAAGAAAATAGAACTGTAACCCCTTTTTTTAAAGAAAAAATGTACTTCAAAATTTAATAAAAATAAATAATTTAAACTTATATAGGGAAAGGAAAAGACTGCATCCTATGAAATTATGTATGGAAACGCGCATAAATTGTGGACCCCACGTTACTACATTATTCTGTGTCCTTTTTTGGGTATCTTTATTCTTTACATAGTTAATGGCCTAAATTATTTATTTATTTATTTATTTATTTATTTTTATAATAGAGTCTTTTAATGTTTATGATTTGCTCCATAAATAAAACATAGGCCTCTCATTAATTATAAATATTTTAATTTAATTAATAATATTTTTTCCCATGCAGTGTAAATACATGTCTTTCTAATCGGTTATATTATCTTCAAACTGGTGATACTGCTGAACTTCCTCTTCTCTGTCACTACCCTGTAAAGGTATGCGCATATGCTTCTTTATTTATTTATTTTGTTGTTGTTATTTGATTTTAGTGTCATTATTCTCTCAGTAATGTTGATTTCAATTATATTCAAAATAAAATGAAATAAATTATGACAAAAAATTGAGAAAATAAAATAAAATAATTAAATGTGGACACTGTGCTTTCGTGGTGGTAGACCATGCCTCATTAATACTCCACCTGCCAATCATCTTTTTGCATATGTCATTTAAAACTTTCTTATTTTACTTTTACACGAAAAGGTTTAAATGATTGAAATCAATTAAAATTTTTAAAAAACAAATAAAAATAATAACAGTTATATTTAATATGTGGATTTGAAAATTTTAAAATTTAAATAGTCTGAATATACTTTTTAGTTTTCAAAATTAAATAAGCATAGGATTCTGCATAATTCATAGCTAAAATGATTTAAATGAAATTTTAATTCAGGATTTAGTTTAGAGCGTTTTATGGGTAACTTCATGTAATTACTCATTTATTTAAATTGATCTATCAACCATTAATCTAATAAAATATACAGGGGGTCAAAGTACTTAAAAAGATTTTAAAATATTCACGTCTATTAAGTCATATTAATGTAAATAATAATATTAGTTTATAAAGTTAACTGTAGAAGAATAATTTTTCATATAGTTGGTCAATCAGTTTTCACTGATTAATAAATACAAATTTTTTATTCATAAGTGAGAACACAGAAACTTTGATTTTAAATAATATATCCACATGAGACACGAAACATCTTTGAAAGCAAAACTTGATTAATTCTGCTGAAAAAAATTAATTAACCCAAAAGCTTCCATGATTAATGAATTAATTATGGATGACATTTTTGTTTATTGTTAAATAGATGTGTGAACATGAGAACATATGTTAAGAAAACATGAAATTAATTCGAGTATATTCGTTCTATTGACTTTGTGAACTTCACGTTAGGCTTTAAATATTCAATCATGTCGATTGCTTCATGCCTATATTTCAATTGATTATTTAGTGAAGTAAAAGCAACATTTTGCCTAGTTTGAATCCTTTTCTTTCTTCTTGTTAATGATTTAGACTTAGTGAAGAAAACGATGACATAATTAGAAACCTCTCGGAATTAATAGAATGATGTAGAAATAAAAAATTACTACTTTTGTTCCTTCTGGGATATTCTTAATAAATATAAAGGAGCGTTCAATTTTTTCTTAAAATAAACTTAATCTATTTAGTATTGACTAAACATCTAGCATATTATATATATAAATAGTATAAGAAATTTACAACTTGTGATAAATTTCATCATACTCACTCCGGTCCTATATAAGCTTCAATTTTAGAGATGGTCTGATCCAAAATATAAGTTTTATTTTTTAGTTGGTTTGAGTATTTATTACTTTTTATTTCCTATTTTGCTTTTAGTTAATTGTATCTAGTACTCCCTCTCTCTCATTGATATTACTCCCATATATTCTCTTTTATTATTTTTTATTTATTTTCTCTCTTATTTACTCTCTTAATAAATAAAAGCAAATTTAAAAAAAAAATATTTTTAACCTATTTAATATTTTAAACTAATTTTAACTGTTAGTTCATTAAATGTGATTCAATTATTTGAAATTTATATATATAAACGGGGAGTATATATTAGTATGTATATATTAGTATTTTTTTTTATTAGTATATTGATGTTTTTGTTTGCTTCCATTGTTTTAGCCGTGGCTTGTGATTTTGAACTAGTACTCTTTTATTCTATATTTTGATTTGATTTGGCTCATCACCTAAAGTGACATATGAACTAGACAATTTTTATTTTTGTTTTGCCATGACTATACAAATTTTATTTGAAAAAAGTATATTGACGTGTATATATACATCTACTTCATTCTTAATTTTTTTTAATTAACTCGTTACATATGTTTTTTAATACAATTTCCTTCTAATTTTTTTTTTAGTTGTTACCAGAGTTAATGATAATATTTTGGTTTAATTGCACTTTAGTAACACTGTAGAAAAGGTCCGTTACGTTTAGGTCCCTATATTTTTTAGTTTCTTTTCTTTTCTTCTCTTTTTGGGCCACTTTTAGCGTTGCATTTACTTCGTAATTTTATCGGATGTCCCCGAAGGGACTACTAGCAACCTTTAGGATTTAAAGTTGTCCACAATTTAATGGCTTGTAACTAATGACCCACCGCCATTCATTTAAACTTTTTTTCTTAATTTCTAGAATATGCGTTTGCATGAAAAATTGAAAATAGATAAATTCCCTAAAAACACAAAATATTACTTCTCGGGTCCTATTTATAAATTACTTTTAATATATTTCATTTAGACTAACACTTTAAACTTTATTAACTCTTATTTAAAATTTAATTACTTTTCAACTTTATCTCTATTTACTATACATTATATTTGTAAGAACAAAGTCAACACAATATTAAATGAAAGATAAAATTGTATATTTATATTAAAAATTTCTCTATCTGTCTTATAAATAAGATTAAAGGAGTAAACTCTGATGTATCATAGGGTTAATTCTTCTCAACATTAATATTCACTAAAAAAATTTTAATGATATTTTTCAAACTTGATGTCACAATAATTAATAATCAAAAAATAATATGATTAATATTTCAAAATAGATAATGATTTTTGGTCCCAAAACATGAATAATGGCAAAGTTTACCTTATTTTTAATAAAAGGACAAAATTTTTCAACATAAGTAAAAGAATGATGAGGTTCACTTAATTATTTTCAAAGCTATAGAATTATGGATTAATGTATATCCTCTAAGAAACGTCATTTGATTTGATATTCACAGTATGAGCAAGATTTTTTGGCCAACCATAGCAAGTTTAATTATTATTAATGCAAAGAAAATAGAAGAAACTAAAATATATATGATAACAATAATAATACCAAAAATATATAAAAACATTTTCACTTTTTAATATATATATATAAAAGAAAAGTACACTTTTAATTCTTTACAATCTTTACAAAAAATATCATTTGAGACTAATAGTGCCAGGTTTGGAGGGCAGGAAAGATATACTTCAACGTGGAAAAACCTAACTAAAATATTATATAAAATTTTTATCTGAGAGCACAGGGCTCTTAAGAAAAACCACTAGGACATTCTATTGCCTTGATAAAAACATAGATATATAAGAGGAGATGCAAGTGGCGTATTATATGGTCCCTTGTCGACATTAACAAAGGGACGTGAAGGCAGAAGTTCATTGCGTTCACGTAACCCATTTCTTTGAACGTGGCATTATTCTATCCGCAACAAAGGTCTACTCCTTTTTCTCTTTGTTTTCGCGGCGGCCGAATATTTCTAGCTTTATTCCCCTTTTTCTTTTCTTTTTTTTTCTCTCTTAAAAAATCATGTTCAAGTACTATTTCTGATATTTAATACTCCTCCGGTCCTTAATATAGGACCCAATTGGTGAGTTGGTTTTGGTCCTAAATATAAAACCCATTTTTCATATTTATCAATTTTCTCTAAATTACCTCTATGGATACTCTTTCAACCATAATCAAGTAGAAGAAGAAAATGAGGTATTAAAAAAGATGATTATGGTATTTTAGGAAAAATGTGTCACAATTCTTATAATTAACTAACTTACCTAACTTCCTTAATCTAATCAAATTAGTTAAATGGGTCTTATATTAAGGACCGGAGGAGTATAAGAACTAGTTTACTAATTTAAATAGATTTAAAAAGTTTGTTAAGTTAGTTATTTATAATAAATAGGTGTTATTTTTCTTAAAATACCCTTGTTAATCGGAAACAAGTAGATTAGGGTCTTATATTTATGATCAAAATAAAAATCAAATGAGCTCTTATATTAAACATCAGAGGTATTATATATATTTCATCATAAAATATTTTTTTAATGTGGAGCAATTTTATCTGTTTTCGGTGGATATTTTATTTAATTTAAAGAAATTTGCGCTCACTTCCATTATCATAGAAATTTGTTCTTCTCATTTTCTCTATGTTTTTTTTTTGGGTGTTTTTGGTGGAGCCTGAATTAATTTATGTCGGAACTCTTTTATCCATTGATTTAATATGATTTTTTTATTTACTTGATTATTTAGCCTTTTCTTTTTGACATTTGGCTCAATCGAAATAAAATATGCTCTTTCGAATTTTAAATATAAGATTTAATTAAAGAATTTATTTTGGTTACCTCTTTTATTTGTTCCCTTCATTTAATATTTTTGTCGTATTATTTCTTATTAATTTCACAATATTTTTTTTCTCATTCTCTTTATTTCTCACATTTAATATTCTCATTAAAAAAGGGCTATTAATTAGGTCTTGTATTTAGAACTCCATGAAGTAATCTATAATCAACAAAACCTATCAACTCTAAATGTAAAAATAATATTTTAAATGAAAAATTAAAAATCTACTCCATTCATGTTAAGTTCAAACAAATTAAATTACAGAACCTTTGAACTTTCCCACTATATATGTGCATTTGGTGTGCGTTTGTGTGGTTATAACGCATAACGAGTTAACGAGCAACACACACATCATAACTTGTTACAAAATAATTAAATTAAATATAGTCTTAAAGTTAAATATCATGAATGTACTTTTTTCTTGTTGGTTAAATTCCTTCTGATAGAAATAATTTTGTTACACATGATGAGGCATTTAAAATTACATCATGTTACTGCATTCACACATCATAATATTTTCCTAAGAAAATTTAATACTTGCTAATATATATATTCTATTAAAAAATGCAGGCACAATATATGAAGAACGATCCAAATTACCTTAGTTGCAAGAACAAGCAATGCAAGAAATCTGAGCAAGGAAAGTGCACTGTTACAACTTGCAGTGGGTCAATAAAGTTCCATGTCATCAACATTAGAACTGAAATTGAGTTCGTCTTCTTCTCTGGTGGATTCTCAAACCCTTGCATTTTGTCAAGGTCCACACCTTTGAGCTTTGCAAATCCTAACAAGCCTCTCTATGGACACATCTCAGGCATGGATTCATCCGGGTCATTGGTAAGACTCAACACGATGCCTATTACTCCCTCTGGATCTTTAATATAGAAGCTAATTAGAGAATTAGATTTCAGCTTATATATAAGTCTCGATCTAATTTGTCTCTCATATTTATTATTTTTTTTCTTAAACTGATTTATCTAACTTATAAACTAGTATATAATCTAGCGTTGCACAGGAGTATTTTATGAAGATTATGTCACATTCATTATAATTAACTTATTTATCTAACTTTTTTTATTTACCCAAATTAATTAAGTAGCTTTTATATTTAAGGACAGGAAATCGTACTATTTAATATGAGTGTGTCAGACATGCAATGAACATGATATATTTCAATGTGGATCATCTGCAATGACTATAGACTTGAGTGAAAAGAGAAACAACAAGTGGTGGGAACCACTTGAGATCTAAGTCTCATTGCTCTTTTTACCTCTCTTCAACTAAATCATGCAATTGTGAGTTAAAATCCTAATCTAATATGGTTTAGTGGGTACGTGACTTATTTTAATACAATGATGTGTGATTGGTGCTGCAGATGAGAGTGACATGGGTTAGTGGAGACAAAAAGCCTCAGCAAGTTCAATATGCAGATGGAAAAACAGAGACTTCACAAGTCACCACATTCTCACAAGATGATATGTGCAGTGAGTATCAATAGCTCAAGTGTTCTTTCACAAAAACAGATAATTATATCTGTTCTAAAAGACATATAGTAAACATGAACACAGCTAATTAGGTCACAGTTCTCACAAGAAAATACAGTCACAGATATTACTGTTGTGACATGGCATAGGTCAAATTTGAATGGTTTAGCCAACAGCTTATAGCCTAATGGCATGAAAACTCTTGTAAGTGAGAGATCAGGGGTTTAATCCTATTTTTTACCTCAAGCCATTAGTGCCCGCCTCTCTTAATAAAAAACACATTAGATTGGGATGCGACTGACCTAGTAGCATTTAATTAAAATGGCAGGTTCAGCTCTGAAGAGTCCTGCAAAGGACTTTGGGTGGCATGATCCAGGATACATTCACTCAGCAGTTATGAAAGGGCTTAAACCTTCAAGCACCTTCTCATATAGATATGGAAGGTATGCACTATACTGAAATCCAGATTATAATTAAAAATATTATCCTTTCATATTTAATGCATCAGTAACTGATTTTTGGCTTATTGATAGCCAAAAAAGTATCTTTAGGTGTTATTTTCATAAGACTTGGACTGCGAGAAACTACAATTGATTATTATGTTAAAAGCATAGTCCTTTTCCTTTTTGTTGATTCAGTGACTCTGCTGGTTGGAGTGAACAAATTAAGTTTTCGACTCCACCTGCTGGAGGATCAGATGAACTCAGATTCCTTGCATATGGAGATATGGGAAAGACTCCTCTTGATGCTTCAGAAGAACACTACATTCAGGTGCATTATTACTTATCCAGAATCTAGCAGTATCTTCACAAGTTTCTGATAAGTTAAAACTTCTATCTTATTAACACTATCCCTACAGTTAAAACCTACTTTCACGACACTTTATTCCCATATGAGAAACGAGATTCAGAGTCACATGCATTGAATTATAATGAGAAAGACTGGTTAAGGAAAAAACAGAATTATAATGAGAAAGGAGGATGAAATGTAAAAATCAGAATCAGTATGTATATGTGTACTAACCAGTTTCAGAATGTTGTTTCTGATATAGCCAGGAGCTCTTTCAGTTCTTAAAGCTATGGCTTCTGATGTAGATTCCAACAATGTAAACTCAATTTTTCACATTGGAGACATAAGCTATGCAACCGGTTTCCTCGCAGAATGGGACTTCTTCCTTCATCTTATTGCCCCTGCAGCATCCAGAGTTTCTTACATGACAGCAATAGGAAACCATGAAAGGTACTGAATTATCATGGAGTGAATAAATTTACTTGTAAACTGAAACTATTTTCCTCACTTGAAAATTCCCAGCAAAACATTGCTTCACTTCCTGTTAAATGTAAACCTAACTTGAAAGTTGAAACAATGCTTTATCATAAAGATCGTTGCTAACTTTAATGTTTATGACTCAGGGATTATGTAGATTCTGGTTCATTATATATCACTCCTGATTCTGGAGGTGAATGTGGAGTACCATATGAGACATACTTTCAAATGCCCATCTCAGCAAAGGATAAGCCTTGGTATTCAATTGAACAAGCTAGTGTTCATTTCACTGTCATTTCAACTGAACATGATTGGTCGGAAAATTCTGAACAGGTAAGTAATAATATACTAGATCTCCTTCAACCTGCTTTCTGTGTAATAATATGTTCAACAATTTTCTGGCAGTATCAATGGATACAAAAGGACATGGCCTCGGTTGATCGGAAAAAAACTCCTTGGTTAATCTTTATGGGGTAAGTGAATTTGAATTCTCAGCATAAGATATCTAGTCTGTTCTTTGTACTCACTTTAAGTTCAACATTCTCACATTTCAGACATAGACCAATGTATAGTTCCTCTAACAATGCATTTTTACCCTCCGTTGATGACAATTTCGTCAAAGCCGTAGAACCGTTGCTACTGGAGACTAAGGTAAAAGCCCATTAAGCTCCATAGTTTAGTGATTACCCATGTAGCAGATGAGTGTATATATGATAATGATGGTGAAATGTTAAACAGGTTGATCTGGTTCTGTTTGGCCATGTTCATAATTATGAGAGAACTTGCTCTATCTATCAGAGCACATGTAGAGCCATGCCTACAAAAGATGCAAAAGGAATTGATACATATGACAATAAAAACTATAGTGCTCCTGTTCATGCTGTCATTGGAATGGCAGGCTTCACCTTAGACAAGTTCCCAAAAAATGTAAGTAATTCACTGTTCTCCATTTCTTTCCCCCCCCCCTTTTGAGTTAGAGGGGCTGGCGTTAACAGCCTGAGATTACAAGTGGAATTGAACCCGCGATCTCTCACATACTGGGGAGCTTTCATACTACTAGACTATAAGGCTATCAGTTATAATAGGCCTGTCGTACTTTGTCTTCAAGCTTTAATTCCTTTTGTAAGAGAAGAAGCAAAGGACTAATAGAACTGTACTTGAGGTTTTGAGTTGAAATTATCCTTGACATGTTACATACTCTGATCACAACCAAATGGTATGTTCTTGTGCATCCACAGGTGGATAGTTGGAGTCTGAAAAGGATTTCTGAGTTTGGTTATTTACGAGTACACGCAACAAGGAAAGAGTTAAATTTAGAGGTATGTTAGAAAGCTTCTTTAGTAAATGTTAACGTATACAGATTAAGCAGTTTAGAAGGATTTTACATGGCAATGCTATGATATTTTTCTGTCATTTTGTTTTGCCCTTAGAATCATTTCTGTGGTGTATGCACTTGAAATAGAAGTGTAATGTCTCTCTTTTTGTTTATTGCAGTTTGTGAACGCAAAAACAAAACAAGTTGGAGACAGTTTCCGCATTACAAAGTGAAGCTAAAGTCATTTAGATATTTACTGATACAGGTCAACAGAAAAAAGTTCACAATTACACATACAGGATACATACATATATATATATATATGTATATATCTACATACGTAGATATGTATGTATGTGTATGCACACAGATAGTACTTAAAGGTGAAGAAGAAGGTAGCGATTGCTGCAGAACAGTTACACAATGTTAGGGCTTCAGCTTCTTGTGTCTTTTAAAGTTGTCTCTGTAAATTTGGAATGATGATAGAACGTTAACCTTCTTTTTTATATATTAAACCTTCTATATATGTTGCGTTTTCGCTTGGTCTAGTTTAGTTTTCTCGGAGCACTAAAAAGTTAAGTGTTTCTATTACCTTGGCGAGAAACTTTTTGGTATCTATGCATAGTTACATTAAAATTTTGACCAATTTTTTGGCCAAAAAAAAGAGACTAATTTAATTTAATACATCATGTTTAAGTGAGGATCATGAATTTTGCACTAAAACCAATGATTGTTCGCAGTGTCTCTATTATTCCCAGCAAAAATAATAGGTCCTCCTGTCCTTATTAATTAAGGACTTCTTACACAGTTACAAGTCTTTTAATATAACATAGTTTGTATAAGGGAAAATGGCAATTAGGTCCCACTCAAGGAAATTAAATACAAAAAGGTCCCTTGAAATCATGAAATTATTTTAAAGTCCCAAAGATTTTTTTGCATTAAATTTTATTTATTTACTTACCAAATTACCCTTCTCTTTTTTTTTTTTTAAGTTTATATTGACAACTGAAAGAGCAGTGGTTGACAACTCAGGGTGTAAGGATTAACAACTATCGCGGCTGGTTTGACAACTTATGGTGTGATATGCTGCTGAGAAAATGTGTTGTCAAACCAGCCGCGATAATTGTCAATCATTGCACCCTGAGTTGTCAACTACTACTCTTTCAATTGTCAATACAAATCTAAAAAAAAAAAGAAGGGTAATTTGGTAATTAAACAAATAAAATTTATTGCAAAAAGGTCCCTTAGGACTTCAGAATACTTTCATAATTTCAAGGGACCTTTTTGTATTTAATTCCCTTGAGTGGGACCTAATTGCAATTCTCCCTTTGTATAAAGTGGAAACTTTTTCCATCTAACATATCCCAACAAACTATAAAATTTTCTAATTAATTAAACAAACTCTTCTACCTAATTACTTTTGTTAAAGATAATTTTGATATTTTATATAAAATAATTCATTTTAACTGACTTCCTTAATTTACATAAACTTGTTAATAGGCAGTTAGGAATAGGACCAAAAGGAGTAATATCATTAGCAAAAATTGAAGGTGCGCTTGCACAATAAAAGCAAAACTTAATTATATAAGGCATATTTGATAATCTTGTTTTACTTTTGGACTGATTCATGCTGGGGATCTTGTTAATTTTTTTTGAGATATTTTTTTAATATTATATATATGTTGTATGTATGTACGTGTAACACAAAGGGTCCACTAACACTAACCCCTCCCTCTTCCCTAATTTATATACTGATCCTTTAGTATTATTCTTTAATTTCTCACCTACCCCTCCATAATTTTTTTCTGCAAGAAAGGCCTAAATAATAATTAAGAAGAAAATGGTAGTTAGAAGAGACTTGATTTTTCTTAAACAAGGTTTATGGCTCAAATTTTATATATGAAAAAAAATCATACAATAAAAATGTTATCCCTATAATTAGTCCTAGCGATGCTAAACTTAACTCTAAAATACCATATACTAAATAGATGTAATAAAGAAAAAATAATAATAACTAATTTGTGTGTCCTTGTTTTATGAATGATTCAAATCTTTAAATCCAATATACTTTTACCCAAGCTTTAATATGAAAGGTTTTATATCATATATTATATATAAAACATAGTAAAATTTATAAAATAAAAAATTCTATTATTTATAAGTTATAAATATATAGAACAGAAACGTTATAATTTTAGTATAGCATGTGTGAAGCATGTTTGACACTTGCATGCTACCAAACCTATAAAAAGTTAATACTAGAAAAATATAACTAGACTGACACATCACTGAGGTGCCATGTTCCATTTTAATGATTATTACAATATAATGAAATTAATTGAATGTTTGGAGCCCATCACTTTCATTCAATTAATTAAATATAATTTAAGGTAGAGAAGTATCTTTCAATCAAAAGAAAGGTAGCTAGAGAGGCTTCATAAAGGTGTGACGAAGAGAGCATTGTGTTCCTCTCATAAACAAATGAATCCTAAAAACGTGTTTGTGTCTCCCTTTCTTAGGCAATTTGAAAATGGCCATGTTTATGGATGCGAGAGCTGATTGATGTGATTTCTTTAGTTGTTATTTTTTCAAGATTATTGATGTGATTTCATGTGAACAAGCAATGGCCTAAAATAGATAAATGACAATTTAGAACCAATAAAAAAAGTAGTATGATACTTTAAGACTTAATTTTCAAAATGTCAATTAGAAATTTTGAGGGTTTAATTTGAACAATTAACAAAAGAAATTAACAAAAAAGACTATGAGAAAATTAATTATTTAGTCTAGGTTTAACTCAAATAATAACCTAGTGTTATTGTACGAAATGTTACATAGTGCAAATAAATTTTATTAAGTTTCAACTATATAATCCTTTGGTTATCCCTCCATTTATGACTTGATTAGTACAACATAGTTTTTTGAGGAATTAGATGATTTTATGAAAGTGTAGAGACCAATGGAATAAATGATTGAAATTTGAGAGACTGAGCTGGAATTAAATTTCAGATGTTGAGTTTAACTAACTGATGAATTTTTCCATCACATATACAACTTAGAAATGCTGTAAAACTAAGTTGGCAATTTCATAAATTAAGTTGACAATTTTAGAAGAAGTTCAATTAGGATCATCTTCAATTAACTAAGTCTTCTTATGTGTTTTCTCCCGACGATGCCATTGGATGTATTATTTTTTGAATTTAGCCTCCAATATTTTAAAAAATTAAAAAGTAGACATGAAAATTGCTTAATTAATAATCATCTCCACTAAACATTTATGATCGCCAATTTAGCTTTTCATGAGGAGTTTCAACTTATATATGTGAATAAGGATGTTTTGGTTAACTGACATTTTATATGACAAGTTAGTAAACTTACCAATATTTTTTTTATCATAAATTATTATTGTTCATAATTTTCTTTCCCACCTAAATTACTGCTTTCTACCAAATTAGAGTAACAAACAGATTGCCTTCTCCCAAATCAGGTTAGTTTATGTGCATCTCACACTTCCCCAAAACTTTTCTTCTTCGCTCCTGTTTCTTAGCTCTCTTTTATTTCAGTTTCATATTATTTTTTGCCGACCAAATGGCCACCAAATCAAGGGTTTCTTAGGGTTTACCCACTAATCTTGTGCCATGTAGCAGAAGCTGCACATGAGACTTCTTCATGTGATCACGAAGAAAGTTTGAAGTACTTTATATTGTTGATTTCTTATGCCTCTATACATCAATTTAACGTTTTATTTAATCAGGTTTTGAATATTATGTTTTCAAAGGTTTTATATATTATGACTATTATTTCTCATTAATACAAATTTCAATTAATCTGAGTTAAATTTTACTATTAGAGAATCAATCATGAAGTGTTTCTCAAATAAGTATACATGAAATCCTTTTACGTATTCTCTGTTTTTTTTCCCTTTATTTCTTATTACTCTCTTAAGTATCAAAAGTTTCTTTTTAAAAGTAATAAAAAAACACATATTAATAGATAAATTAAAATATAATGAGTAGTTAAATGTTAGAAAGCACATTTGTGAGATTAATGCGATTCATGTGAGCCAACAACAAACAAAAGTGATGTTGCACCATATCATATTAATTAAACACTAATCTCACATGCATTCTCTCCCATGCTGCTTTTCTTGCTGTTTAATATTTCTGCATTCCAGAAATGTTGCAACATTTGGCAAAAAGTGAGATTTATATGTGGCATAATCATATATATATGCTCATGTTTCCAAGAAAGGTGGACTCTGTGTCTAGGTACCTTGCATCTATTATCATATAGACATAAACAAATTTGGTTGTTGTGACATGCATCAAAATATCTATTTATATCAAGAACCTTGAGATCTAAATTGCCTATATGCTCAGCGTATCATTTTGTCTATTTATCAAGGCACTTGAGATCTACATTGCTTATATACTCAGACAGTGTTTCTTTTATTTGTTACAAGTTTCTTTTCTATTATTAGAGATAATCCTATTCAAAATATTTTTGAATACTCAGCTAATATTATGAGCAGTCATATATCCTAAATTTATTTTCTTTTCCTTTTTTTATCCAGTCCTAAAAGTCAGTTAAGAGATTTTTTTTATAGCCGTAAATATACTACTCATGTTAATTTTATATAATTGTTTTCCTTAAATTATTTCTATTAATACAAATATTAAAGGAATTTTTTTAATGGGATAGTTTCCAATACAAGTAACTAAAGATAGTATTTAAAAAAAATAACACATATTTTTTTTATAAATAATTAACTTAACTATCTTGATCTCTATAAATTAATTATCCCATATAGAGAAATTATTAAATTAAAGTGCTATATTTGAAACAATCTATCTTTTATAGCAAGTTGCCTGCGATAATATAAAGTCAAATAATATAAAATTAACATGGCATCACAGCAGCAATGAGTAAGTCTATTGAGAATTAGAGTATTACATAGTCGTTGTCTAGCCTCTCATTTTATGGACAGAATTAATTTTGATTAGCAATTGGCAGACAGCAATATAGTACTATAGTATTAATGGAATGTTAGTGACACCTTAAAAGGACAAGACAATAATGATGAAGAAATGTATGAGGTGCTAATACTAATACATAGGTTTAGCCTAAGAACAAGTTTCCATTTTGTTGGTAGCCGTTACACCTACATTATATCCTTCTAACCAATTACCCTTCTTTCTCTTCTCTTCACTCTTTCGGTATTTCCCATCTTCCAAAATCTCTCTCTCTCCCCCCCTCCCCGTCTCTCCCCCTGTGTATGTACGCGTGTGCATCCTTATTTCCTTCTTTAACTCGTCTCTGATCAAACTTGAAATAATCCAATGAACTCCCACGTTTCAAAGTCCAAACTTTCTACTTCATTATTGCTCTCTGTATCATCAAGCTGTACCAGCAGCGAAACTGAAGAAACCAGTCCCTTTTCTCTGCAACACACGAAGCTTCAACTACCCTTCACACCTATTTCTAAATCCTTCTCTTATCGCCCATTGGCCATTCTTTCTGGACATATTGCCTCTGTTTCTTGTTTATCACTATGTGGGGACTACATTCTGAGTGCCTCTCAGAGCAAGGACATCATCGTATGGCAAAACCCAGATTTCAAGTTTCTCAACAAGTTCGGACATGGAGATGGGTCGGTTAAATCCCTCGTCACGGCCGGAAATAAGATCTTCTCGGCTCATCAAGATGGCAAAATCAGAGTATGGAAGGTTTCTAAGAGCTCAGAGAATGTGTTCAAGCTTGTGGAAACTCTCCCGACAACGAAGGATTATTTGGGGAAATTCATGAAGCAGAGTAACTACGTCCAAACAAGAAGACACCACAAGCGACTGTGGATTGAGCATTCAGATAGTATCTCCTGCTTGACGGTATGTAATGGTTTGATCTATTCTGGCTCATGGGACAAGACGCTCAAGGTGTGGAAGTTATCAAGCTTCAAGTGTTTGGAATCCATTAAAGCTCATGATGATGCCATTAATGGCTTAGGAGCATGTAAAGGGGTTGTGTATTCTGCATCTGCAGATGGAAAAATCAAAGCTTGGGGAAGAAAAGAGGGGAATAAGATGAAGAACAAGAAGAAGAAGATCTCACATTGTTTAAAAGGGGTTTTAAAGGGTCGTCAAGATTCAACCTTTAATTGTGTGGTTGTTTCTCCAGATGGGAAATGTATATATGGAGGGGATTCTAATGGTTTTATAATTGAATGGGAGAAAATTGAGGATTTCATCACTCAAACCAACTTCGATCCGAGGAACCACTGCCTTAACCAATTCAATGAATCATGGAAGCTTGTAAGCACAACAAGAGCACATGAAATGGCTGTTTTGTGCATGTGTTTAAGGGGGAAGATTATGTTAAGTGGATCTTCAGATAAGAATATAAGAATTTGGAAGAGAGAGGGATCTAATGGCGGGCTTTGTAAAATTGGGGTAATAAGTGGACATAAAGGGCCAGTGAAGTGTTTGGAGGCATCTAGCAGAAATACAAGTGACGGTGGTTTTTTCCTTTATAGTGGAAGCATGGACAAAAGCTTGAGAGTTTGGTGGGTTCCCATGAATATTAATGAGGAAGATACAGAAGAAAATTCTAGTGCTATTGCATCAAGGCCTGTGAATCAATCCATCATTTCCTGTTCATAAGTTGATACCAAGAAGATAGAAGATCTGATTTTTTTAAGGAAAAATTACTTCTTTAGTCCTTAATACTTTAATCTGATTTTTAATTATGTTTTTGTAGTTTTTTCTAATTAAGTCTTTACAATTTCATCAATTGTAGGCATTAGTCCATATATTCATATTACGTTAGTTAGAACTGATATGAATGAAAGTTGAGTGCGAGTCTCATCGTCTGAATGTCATTTAATTTACAAATTATCTACTTCCCATTAAATTTCACATATTATGAGATATAATCTGCATAATGTTGAGGCACATGTTTTTCCCCCAACAATATTGAGGCAAATGTTATCGAAAAGTAATCCATTTTCTCTTTGAACTAGTTACGGATACGGCGATGACTCTTGAATTGAGGGAGAAAAAACCAGTACTCAAATTTTCATCCAAAAATTTTGATATAAAAGGCATTTCTTTGATGTAAAGAATGAAAGGAAATAGAGACATTTTAATTACTTCTTATTCAACAAAATTAATATTTATTAAAGAGATAAAAAAAACATGTACCAAATTAAAAATCGAGTAAAAGTATAAATACATGAATAATAATTTTGTAACTAATCAATTAAAAGACATTTTGTCCAATCAATCATCAATTAACTTCATACTTAAAAATCTTATAATACACAATTCATTTTAAAATGGACCAGGTCGAGTTAAGACAAGGTCATTGATATGGACAATCATTACAAAAGAGAGAATGGCTGAAAATTAAATGCGTTATAGTATCTATTAATTAGCATATTAATACTCTAATAATCATCAATCATCAACTTTATACCATTCAAAATGATTTTGTAAGTTTTGGTCAAAAAAAAAAAATGATTTTGTAAGTCACCGATGCCAGCATGACCCCAGTGGCTAGTGGTCAAAAGACATATTGTTTATTTCCGATTCATAAACAAATAGCACTCAAAGTGTCAAGAGATTTCACTATAATTAGTGAATTTTGGGAAAACGTAATTGGCATTAATTTCCTCACCTAAGATTTAAAATCCCCTCACAAAAGTTCATGTTGCACACAAACAACCAAAGAAATGGAGCTCATACTAATGTCATCATGATGTGCATATATGTCGTGCATATGTAGATGAGTGAACAGCCTGTTGAGGAGTCACAGCTTTTCCATTCACAAGTACTTGTTCCGGGAAGTCCACACGTATAGACTTGAATTGGTAGCACTAATGTAAGATAATACACACATAACGCAAAGGTAAATACTTAGAATGTATACGAACTATGGAGACTAAAAAAACAGGAAATTATTAAGAAAATTAATTAAATATAATTATTTATAAAAAAATTATGTGTTGGCATTCCTAAAATATTTTTTTGTTAATTATATGTAGTGGAACTACCTCTTTTAACGGAAGTCTTAACATGTGCAATTACTAAGGATATTTTGGAGGGAAAATGATAAATTTGAGAGACCAAGTGGATTAAAGTCTTATATTTAGGACTAAAATGAACCTCTTGTCTAACTCTTATATTAAGAACAAGAGATTGTAATAAATTCAGGTGAGCATGAATTGGATAAAAAAGCATACCTTCCCCTTGCATGAAAAATCAACATGGCGGAATTTAGGGTCAAGCAGGGTCAGCCAATCTGCTTCTTTGATCTGAAAAAGAAGTTGAAGCAAAATACCAATAAGAGATATGCTTTTGCTTTCTTTCCCCTCTCCTTTTATTCTCATGTTTTGGCTATGCTCTTCACCACCAAGCATGTAACTTTAAATTCAAGCCTTACCAAATCCTCTTTGGGTACTCCAAAAGAAGTATAATGCAGTATTCTTCTCTAAGCAGATTTTGAGTACATAATGATAACTTAAGTGTGTCTTACTAGTTTAAAAACACACAAACATCCAAATGACTCAGCTTAAACTCCAATCCCACTCGTTTATTACCCTAAAGTCCTTGATGTATGTTGAGGAAAAAGAAATCTGTGCCTAAATCGCATAAGGAGGAGAAAGAAAGTAGGATAAAACTGCAGAAACCAATGCTTACCACATCCTTACGCACACCATAAACTGTAAGAACGAAGCAAGTTTGATTTGAATCACGAAGCAAGTAGTATCTGCAGAACGAAACAAGTAACATAGGATGCCAAAATTGGCTCCCAAATCAGTTTCTAAGCAGTTTTTCACGTTCAAAATTTAAATCACTTGCTTACCCAATTCAAATTGACACAATGTTCATTGTCTTTCCAAAGAATTGAAGTTGCAAGATCTCCAAGGTAAAAAAATGAAGTGTATATCATGATCAGACAAGATTTATAGTTTCAATTTGACCTTTTGTAGCTTCTTTGTTTTATTTATTTTTTATTTATTTATTTTTGCCTTTTAGTATGATTTAATAATTTCATTATTCCACACAACCATTGCTTTGTCTTCCACTAGCATTACTTCACAGGCCCATTGCTTTTGATTTAACAAGTCATTTCCCTGTCTACAGTTTTGGGTTCAAGTTACACACATGAATTATCTCAATGACAACACTAGCGCATGCACAAACGCACACAATGTGCTTGAATAGGAAAAAAATTCTATACACAAAAAAAAAAAAGAATAAAAATCAATACTCTTAAAAGAATCAGCATATAATGCATAGACCTCTGGTTCACCATGCAATGAAATGGTAACATCATCAGCCATGAAAGCACTTTGGACATAATTCAAACATGAAGGCAATTCTCAGGATATGAGAACTTACAGGGGAACATCAACGTCATTCATAACAAAGCTCAATACCCTCCCGTCCACGGCTACCGCTCTGTTCAAACCGTTCAATAAAAGGTCTAATGTAGCTCTTTTGTATGATGAATTCACTTTCATCAGGAAGAATGAGAATGCAGTGAGTTTATTAATCAAATACTACTCTGTCCCTTATTATAAAATCCTTTTAACTAAATTGCACGGTTTAAGAAAACAATTAAAATTAGTTAAAAGTAATTAATATGTAGTAGATGCAATTTTTTTCAAATATACCCCTATATATAAATGGGTAGATATGAGAGAGTTATAGTGAAATAAGTGAAGAAAGAGAATATATTAAATGTATTAAGTTAGGGGTAAAATAGGTAATAATACATTAAATGTTCAGACAAACTAAAAAAGATCTTATAATAAGGGACAGAGAGAGAGAGTATTATTCAAAACAAGAAAAACAGAATGGTGAGGAGAGGCAACAAAATTTAAAGACGCTATGAGCTGAAATGCATAGTTCAAAAGGTAGCTTACATCTAACAGAAGCCAAAGATGAGGCCAATCTTGCCTTTCCCTTAGATCTTAGATGCCCCCGCTGCATATAAATCTTTTATGAAACACAAGAACTCCAATATCAGATAAATTACAAAAATAATTTCTTGGCTGTCATCATTCACTTTCATACTTCTTGTTTGGTGAAGCGGAGAGCAGGAATGGGGATAAACTAGAATAAACGATTAGTGCAATTACCAACTTCTATCATTATATGAATCCTCCATATTAGGAAATCAAATTACCAAAGCAAATCGAATAAAAATAGCAATCAATGCGATTTTTTTTTTTTTTACCCTCATCAGATTATCCAGCTTGTCAAGTAGATTGACTATATTCTGAACCTCGGTGGCAGCATTCAGAGCTGGGTTCTTTGAAATAACAGCTTCAAATGCACTGATGGCCCCCTCATAATCCTCTAGATATCTGAATAACTGTAACAATCATGTATGACAACAATTTACAAGCACAGTCATAACTAAATACTATTGGTATGGAAAAAAGAAGATGCGCAAAGCATACAGTATGAACGATTTTGACAAAGTTATTTTGTGTCTTTTGTTAGTAAATTACCGAATGACTATATTCCTAATTTTAAGCTGAAAAACACTTTTTCATGGTTAAACATTTTTCCTATGCTCTTTTCCTCACCAAAGATGTCAAATCAAACACAAAGCTCGTGAGAAATTTCAATTTTTGTGTGTTTAGGTTCTACTAAAATCAACTGATAGTGAAAGTAACTAGAACCTAAGATAATGGACACAAGACCATGCCCGATAATGATAGCATAATGTTAGGCTTTGCAGCAACTAATCATCATGATCGTGAATTCCACATTAGAGAACAAATAAAGGTTTTGGAAAGATTGAAAATATAGTTACTTACAAAAGCACAAACAGAGGAGGAGGAGAAGTGCACTTACTTTGGCATTATTAAAGGATAAATGTGGATTGGACTTCATTGTTTCATCTTTATCCTGGTATACACAAAAAAGACATTACGTCTTCTGTGTTATTAAAACAAAAACCCACAATTCACTGGCAGTAATACACAGTATAATAATCTCTGGGGATTTTCTTAGGCAAAGTCTGCATGTTCTTTTATCCTGCCAACAGAAAAACATATATAATACTCCTCCGGTCCTAAATATAAGACCCTTATACACACTGGTATAAGGGTATAAGGATCTTATGGAACCCAAGCCAAGCCAATATGGACTGAACATATATGTCTGATATTGATTTTGACTCAATAAAACAGAAGACAAGCATTACGTCAACTGATGCAACATATTGACAAATTAAAACACACAAAACTGAAAATATATTAAAAAAACTATAATGGAAGTAACAACAAAAAAGGAGATAAATTTATTAAATACACAAACTACTATGGTTAAGTTTTCAGCATACTCACAGCATTTAGATATGCTTTTAGAGAATCTAAAAGTTTGCTATCATCCCGAGCTCCAGAGACCAAAAAACTTGTAAAACATGCATTTCCTAAATTATCTGCCAGGAAGATCAGTATGATGTCAAAACATATAAATGTTGCCATTTATTTTAGGAACAGCCGCGTATAATAAAGTGAACAAGGAGAAAGGAAATTGGGCCACTTATGTGCAATATTCATTCACATCATAAAAACTGAATTTGATCACCACAGGGCATGTTAGGACTGGATATCAATTGGGTGTCTCGTGTTAAATATCTTGGTCGCAACAAGTTGGGCATGATTAACATTTATACTCCAACTTCAAGGGATGTGTGAGAATACAAGTGTAAATGGCCTTTCATTTATTATATAGTAGGTGTTAGTTGCACCAAGCATAACTTATAACTTACTAAGGCTCGCTCCCTTTGTATAATACATTCCTTCTCAATGAAATAAACAATGCGTTTTGAACTATTCTTGTCGAGAATTCCAACTCAATTTCCCCCACCCACAAAGAGAAGACAGAGGAGGGAAATCCAGCATAAGAGACAGATGACAGCAAAGCCTCCCCATCCCTTGGCTCTCCTCTCCCCTCACTCCCCTTCCTCTGCATTGTTCTGCATCAACATGATGTTTTATTTCAATCACTGCCAGGGAAAGAAATAAAAGTATTTTGTTATCTTCGTTAGTATGTTTTGTTCTGTCATTGACATCTCTGTAAACAGCCAACTTTCCCACATCATACAAGATCATATATGACTCCTTGCATTCCCTGAGAGGAGATAACTTATATAATGGAGCTCAAATAAAGACAAGGTGATATGAACTTCAAATATTCAGGGTGATTTTTGGGTGAATGAGTACACTTTTTGCTTGATACCAAATCAGGGTTTTTTCTTTGAATACATGTTAGTAGTAAAAGAAATCTTACACCAAGAATGCCCATCCTTGACATCCAAAGCAATAGCTTCCTTGGCATGTCGAATGCTTTCCTCAAGAAGTTCTGCCTCATTCTTAGCACCTGAGAAGGGACAAATACGTAGAAATCCAAATAGTACTTGCATTATAAAAAGAACCAAAGTAACTAGTCCACAAAGACCCTATATGCAATCTAACAACTTTACAACTTACAATTACCAAGGAATTTGAACAGCTTAAAAGATATTGAATGATAAATATTACAATTCAATCCCTTACCTTCTGACATTTTTCTAGTAAGCATTGATAATTGACAAAGAATCTTCTTATCAGGACCCTGAAAGAACAACCAGTGTCTATCATTAAGTCAATCAACTCACAAAATCTGAACCAGAGCAATGCAAAACTGAAACTTGGAAAGGAAATTTATGGCCTTTAACATATGTGTGTGTGTGTGTGTGCAAATGAAATTTTAAAATCATAGACATATTCAGTCATCACAGTAAATTTCTTCTCTGTAACAAAATTTTCTCTACAGGTAATATCAAAAAATCAAGAAGAAAACTACTACATCAAGATACCATCTCAATCAATCTAGAAAAACCGAAATAGCTGGAGCACTTATTAAGTGGCATAGCAGCTACGAAAAAAGATATTTAAGCATTTGTATTAGGAGAGGCCAAAAAAGTACTTTTTATATCATTAGAGTGTAAAATCGGGTGCAAGTGTTTGTTATTCTTTATTCTGGTAGCACTACATGGTAGTAAATAGTAGAACAGAATCAATGTGCTATCTATTCATTAGGGACTCTATTATTCTTTTGTCTCTCCTCTCTATTGTTGTTATTCAGTCAAGCAAAAGCCACCCCCCGAGGAAATCCATGTGCTCACTGAACATCAAAGAGACGCCTTATGAACAATCATAGGCCGTATCAGATTTAACCACAAACGCTTGTTCAAGAAAATCCAAGCATTCCACTTCAACTAGATGGCCCTCATCGAACCAAAGAAGTCATTACTCTATAGAATTTTGCCATCCTCACTTAAAATATTGATTTTGCTTTCTACTCAAGCTACAATGAAGAATCTCAAATATATATATTCAGGGAAAAAAAATAATCTCTCTCGTTTATTTGTTTATCTATGTTCACCTTTCCGGGTCATTTTGTTCTCCCATGGTGACAATTAATCAATATTAAAAGTTTCAAATCTATCAAGCTCATAATAGAATCCCATCGTATGAACAAGATCAGGTAGGCTAAAGTCATGGTTGTCATTCAATAAGTTTCCATCCATCAACAAGAGGAAAAAAACAAAAATAACATGCAATTGGCTCTACAACATATCATCTTCAATTTCGGCCAAGTACTAGGAATTTAATTTCAGCATTAACCTTGCTTAATGCAACACAGAGACAGTCCTTTGCGGCAGGTAGATCTCCTCTCTCATAAAAGCAGTTACTTAAACATAACCAAGCGTCAGCAACTGGTGGGCTTAACTTGACCTGGTGCAAAGAAATAGGAGAGTCGGTCATGACCGTGTATACGCCTAGACGCAAAAACTAACAATTTCATTGTACTTACTGAATGAAATAGGTGATCCTCTGCTTCTTTGCTATAGTGAGGGCACATATCCAATATCTTCCCTCTCAGATATTTAAATGTTGCTTGTTCCAAGGGTAACTTTCTTTCCTCTAGCAAAGGGGATCATTTATGGTTTTTTTTTTAAATAAAAAAATCAGTGAAATGAATTTTGGATATTTTGACTAAACCCAAATCAAAATTTGCATTATTCAATAAACAAAGCTAATACATTTTAGTCAGCAAAAGAAACAAGACAAAAGAATGATAGCAAAAAGAAAAGTATTCCTCTTGAACTCACTAAATCAGAGAATATATCAACAGAACCAAAACTTTACTTCCCTCACTCTACCCCACACCCTCAGTCCACTATATTACCCACTAACTAACAGCCTCCCTCACCCCACAAATATCACATCATAGCATTTCACATCCATTTTTAATTTTGTTCAATTTTCTCAATCCCAATACCCCGTATGATCCCATTTTAGACGAATACACAGAATTTATCAGAACAAGAGAAAACTGTGTATTACAAGAGAATGGAAAAGAAAATTTACCAGGAGGAAGAGAATCAAGGATTTTCAGAGCAACATCAGATTGTTCTTGCAATTTGGAAATTTTATCATCTTCATTCTCCCCATAATTTGCTCGGGTGAGGTAAAGATCTGCAGCAACTTCATAGGCGCTCGCTAAAGAGTCAGGTGTGTTGCTCATGTCAGCGAAACTGAACAGACTCTTCACTTGAAATTGAAACTTTGCGAGCAAGCCGCTGAAACTTGAGAGCCAAGCAGCTATATGTGCATATACGAACACATGTATAGAGTAACTAGACACCGTAGCCCGTGGGTTCAGTTGACACGTTGATCTTTTTTTTTTTTTTTTTTGACCAGCAGCACGGATACATTGATCATTATATTTGTTTGTTACCTACCCATTTCAGTTTTACAACGTTTTCTTTTCCAGAAATATTTCGATTTGCCTAATTTTTTATTCATTTTTTAAAGGGAGAATTACAATGAGATCCCAAATAATTAAAAAACAAGTTCCAGAGGTTGTCATTCTCACTGTAAGACTTGTTATTACAGGCTGCTCAGGTTGTTATTTGAGACTTTGTAGTGATTATTTCTTTTGTGTGGAACTTGAATGTAATTCTCCCTTTTTTAAATAATGTATGAAATATTATTTGTTTGTTAACTGCATGTATCAGTTTCTCCATATATTTTGCTGGAATTTTTATTTTTAGCTTGACTTTTCCGAAATTTGTGGCTGATGGGCAGTTTAAAATAAACCGTACAGTCTTCTACCAAACAAAAAGAAAAAACCGTATAGTGTGTTTTTCCTTTCTTTTAACTGAATATTATGTTACTGTTATTATTTTTTCATGTTATTCGATGGTTATTGTTAGCTCATATATATCTTTTTTTTTCCTAATTAGATAAATGATAAACTATTGGTTTTTCTAATATAATCTAGTAAAAATTAAATAAATAGATGATAAACCCTTGGTTTTTCTTATATGATATAATGGAAATAAAATTATAGAATAAAGTAAAATGTTAGTAAAAATAAGTAATATATAATAAAATTTATTCTAAAAAGTTAAAAAGAAAAAATTAAACAATAGGATATAAGTTTTTGAAATCATATATATATATATATGTGTGTGTGTGTGTGTGTGTGTCATTTTTCTCCACATAATAGAATATCAGCTCAGCCATAAATTTGGGAAATATCTAATGAAATTTATTACTGAATTATTTTCTGCACTCAAAATTAAGAAATCCATATTTTCCTCACATTTTGTTCATAAATATTTTGATTTGGCTAGGTTTTTCCAAATTTGAGGTTGTTGGTAACCGAAAAAATTGATTTCTGAGTTTTTGTGTGTGTTGATTGTGTAATTATGTTAGTTCTGAACTAATTAGTTTTTGAATTTATTTTTTTGCGCTGATTGAAATAAATGTCTAACTAATTGCTTTTTTGTGTGTAAATTAATATGCAAGGGATATAATCAAAGCCTGTTATTCCTTAGTTATTTATGTAGATGACCTTTTTTTTTTTTTTTTGAAATATGGCTGTTTACCTTAGTTTGGCTGAGATTTTGATATTGGCAAGTTTAAAATAAATTTTTTATGGGAAATTTTTTTAATTATTTTTAAATAAAGCACACTCCTTTTTTCAATTAAATAAATTATAGAATATTAGTTTCTTAACTGCCCATAAAATATTAGTCAAAATTGTGGGAGTTATTTATTGTTTTTGTGGGGAATATAAAATAAAAACGGAACTGAAAAATGAGACTTCTAATTTTCATGTAACTGCCAACTGAACTTGCAAATTAAAACTAATTTAGTTTAAAAATTAGTGTGTTGTTTGTGGGGTGAGTTTTTCTAAAATTGTGAGATAAATGAGATCTTCCGGCAAACCAAAAAAGACAAATGAGGTCATTTTTGAATTTGAGTTAAATCAACATATATGAATTTGGAAAACTTCTAATGCTGTCTACAAGGAAAATTTATTTAACGAGTCATCTCTTTTGCTATTTAATAGCTCATATATATCATTTTTCCTAATTAAATAAATGATAAAATATTGGTTTTTTCTAATATAATGTAGTAAAAATTAAATAAATAAATGATAAAGCATTGGATTTTCTTATATGATATAGTGGAAATAAAATTATAGAATAAAGTAAAAATTAAGTAAAAAAAAGTAATATATAATATAATATATTGTAAAAAGTTAAAAGACAAAAATTAAACTATAGGATATAAGTTTTTGAAATCACACACACACACAGAGATATATATATATCATTTTTCTCCACATAATAGAATATCGGGTCAGCTATGGATTTGGGAAATATCTAAAGAAATTTATTACTGAATTATTTTCTGCACTCAAAATTAAGAAATCCATATTTTCCTCACATTTTGTTCATAAATATTTTGATTTGGCTAGGTTTTTCCAAGATTGAGGTTGTTGGTAACTGAAAAAATTGATTTCTGAGTTTTTTTGTGTGTTGATAATATATCAACGTTATTAATTTTTTAAGGGGTAATTATGTTAGTTCTGAACTAATTATTTTTTGAATTTATTTTTTTGTGCTGATTGAAATAAATGTCTAATTAATTACTTTTTTGTGTAAATAATATGCAAGGGATATAATTAAAGCTTGTTATTCCTTACTTATTTATGTAGATGATCTTTTTTTGAAATATGTCCATTTACCTTGATTTGGCCGAGATTTTGGTATTGGCAAGTTTTTTCTTTTTGGCCAAAAGTATTGGCAAGTTTAAAATAAATTTTTTATGTGCAAAATTTTTAATTATTTTAAATAAACTACACTCCTTTTTCAATTAAATAAATTATAGAATACTAGTTTCTTAACTGCCCATAAAATATTAGTCAAAATTGTGACGGTTATTTACGGTTCTTTTGGGGAATATAAAATAAAAAAGGAACTGAAAAATGAGACTTCTAATTTTCCTGTAACTGCCAAGTAAACTTGCAAATTAAAACTAATTTATTTTGTAAATTTATTTTAAAAATTAGTGTGTTGTTTGTGGGGTGAGTTTTTCTAAAATTGTGAGATAAATGAGTTCTTCCGGCAAAGAAGAGAAGAGATAAATGAGGTCATGTTTTAATTTGAGTTAAATCAACTTATATGAATTGGGAAAACTTCTAATGTTGTCTACAAGGAAAATTTATTTAACGCGTCATCTCTTTTGCTATTTAATAAATCATTTAATAATTGTTTGATTATCGTACATCTTGGTCACCCCACGTTTTGAATCATGCACTATGGAACATGAGGAGACAGTTTCATTATAAATGATTTCAATATTGAATTCGATTTGTAGAACTACTTATGTATGATATGTAGACCGTTCTTAGAAACATCAGTTTCGACGTTGTACACAATACTTGGGTGAGTGTGCTTTTCAGAGAATAATAGATACTTCAGATGTCTTTCCTCTCTCAGCAATGATCAATGGCCGGAAAGAAAATGTATTTGTGCATGGGTGCTGCGTATATGTATTGAATTTGACAAGGACGTGGGTTGGGCTTTTAGAAGTTTCAACGCTTTTATTGTAGATGAGGAGGTAATTTATATGTTGTGCTTTTAGAGTTATATGATGAGTTTTTTAGCTATTATAGTTGCATTGTTTATTTAGTTACCTTAGGGGGCGATGAAGCTTCTGACATCTGAGTCTACAAGTGCTTTTGTAATGATCAGAATGATGTGTTCTCTGAAGGAAGACTATACTTATGTTCTCAAGAGGGTTAAAGTTCAGTTAACTTTTTAGTTTTTTCTTTTCCTGATAGATATAGGGTTATGGCATTAAGTCATACCATGTATGAATTATCACCAATTGAAGTAAGCAAGCTGTAGCCGAAGATAAATACCCTGCATTTTATGGAGAGGGGTGACATTCCTGACAGGAGACCCCACAGTAATATTTTTTTACTTGCCTTTATTATTGTTATGCTTACTGTATAATCTCGGGTTCAACTCGATGGTTATATGTGTCTTAGATTTTGTGGGCGAAATCAAGGAAATGGGTGATCTTAATACTGTACCTGATGGCATAGACCGAATCAATGCCCTCAACTTTCGTCATTGTCGGAGGTAGGATGACTTTTGTAGTTCTAGATTGTGGAGTATTTGCAGCATTTTTTGCTGAGTAGGTAAATGTGCAGTTAGTTCTCCATCAAGTGTTCCTTCCAAGGTGGCCCAGCGTGGTGGATTTTTAATGAATTCAATCTGCAGCCTACCAGAAATAGTGTTGTCATTCTTATTGAGCTTGCAACTATAGCCAAAGGGTCTGTTTGGTTTGAGGGGAGGGGAGGGGAGAGGAGGGGAGGGAGGGGTTTCATCCTCACCTTGTTTGGTTTGATTAAAAAAGAGGGGAGGGGAGGTTATTTAATGATCCCTTGTTTGGTTCAAGGAGGGGAGGAGAGGGATAGTAATAATGAATTTACCATTTTACCCTTACATATTAGTTTGTGTTTTTTATTGATATATTATATAAATTAATTTACATCTTAATTTAAATCATATAATTTAATAAAATTTCAGTCTTATCATATTAATATGTGTATTAAAAAATTGGTACAGTAATTTTTATTCTAATTAATATAATAATATATTTAAAATAATCAAATTAATAAATTTTATATGCTCCAAGAAAAATGAAATTTTATTCTCTTTAGGCTATCTTTTTTTCCAGCTTTAAAATATATTTAATAAATAATATATTTATAAAAAACAATTAATTTTATAATATTATAATTTTTTATTTTTAAATAATGTTTTATAATATATTTTTAATTATAATAATGTATTTATTTTTTATTTTTTTACTTAGAATAATATATTTTTTATTTGAAATAAATATTATAATAATATATTTTATGGGTAGAAGTGGAATATTGAAAAAACTATAAGGGTATAATGGTCTAAAAATTTGGCTCCCCTCCAAAAACCCCCAATTTGGAGGGGAGCCAAAATGGGGGGAGGAAGGGGAGGGGAAGGGACATTTTAGCTCCCCTCCCCTCCAAAATTTTTAACCAAATGAGGGGAGGGGCTCCCCTCCCCTCCCCTCCAACCAAACACACCCAAAGTGGAGGGTAGTTGTGTGGCTGTTGCTTTTATCTTTACTACTGATATCCATAATATTCAGTTGATGACTTTCTATATATCTTCATGT